TAGGGTATAATAAGAAACGTGTTCCATGGTGCACAACTTCCCGACACAATTACTGAAGACAAATGTGTGCATAAGCAAATGTGATGAAGAAAGCTGATGGTGCTCAGCTATAAAAAGATATAGTGGCCGGGGTCTTAAAGATTTGCAGGTACACAAGCAGCCATCTAGCTCAGAAGCAACAAAGCCCACATGGAAGAAGCACACCAGCCTGTGTGACCATGAGGTGTCAAAGGGATCAGGTATCAGACATCACAGAACAAAAAGTCATATCATTGTAAATGAGGGTGAGTGCAGAGTGGAGACTCATAGCCCATCTGTAGGCAACTGGATACCCCCTTACTGAAGGGTCACAGGGAGGAGATGAGCCAGTCAGGTTGCAGAGTAGCAATGATGAAACACACAACTTTCCTCTAGTTCTTAAATGCTTCTTCCCCCCACTATCATGATCCCAATTCTACCTTACAAATCTGGCTAGACCAGAGGCTATACATTGGTACAGATAGCAACTGGAAATACAGGGAATCCAGGATAGATGACCCCTTCAGGACCAGTGGTGAGCGCGGTGATACCTGGAGGGTGGGGGGAAGGTGGGGTAGAAAGGGGGCATAGCCGATTACAAGGATCTACATATAACCTCCTCCCTGGGGGATGGACAACAGAAAAGTGGGTGAAAGGAGACATCGGACAGTGTAAGATATGACAAAATAATAATAATTTATAAATTATCAAGGGTTCATGAGGGAGGGGGAAGCAGGGAGGGAGGGGGAAATGAGGAGCTGATACTAAGGGCTCAAGTAGAAAGCAAATGTTTTGAGAATGATGAGGGCAACAAATGTACAAATATGTTTGACACAATGGATGTATGTATGGATTGTGATAAGAATTGTATGAGCCCCCAATAAAATGATTTAAAACAACAACAACAAGAAATGCGATTGCTCCATGGTAACTTGCCAAAGGTCAACAAGTCATCGGTCCAATTCCAGTCATTTCTGGAAGGGTGTAGAAATCTGGGCCCAGAGATGTGTTGAAGGTACACTTGTAAATGACATGAGTGGCTTTTTCTACTTTTACCCCACCTGTCTGCTCTTTAGTCCTAGTCCTCAGATGGATGATTAAAACATTTTAAAATTCCGTTTTCATTGACTAGCTATTGAGAGACCGTTATAGGCCAGGCTATGTTTTAGAAGGTACCTATTGGATAGTGCATAGGTTGATGTCCTTGACCTTAAGGACTTTATGTTTCCATGTTTTATATAATTAATTATCTAAATGAACACATATATTATGCTTGGGCTGTTAAAATACTGTGAAGAGAAATACAGCAGAATAGCAAATAACTCTGTGTGTGTGTTTGTGTGTGTGTGTGTGTAAAATAATACTGCTAAGTCAAGGCCTGTCTGAGGAGGATCTGAAGAATTAGTATCAGGCATCCACCAGAGGATGTGCATCAATGGAGACTAGAGAAAGAGTGAAGAACGCCCACAGTCAGTGGCTGGAGAAAGACTGCCGAGGGAGGGAGATGGAGAAAAGATTGCTTAGGTGGGGAAATATGGTACCCCAGGGGGCCAGAGAAGAAAGTGACCAACCACAAAGGAAAAGATCAACTAAGAGACCAATGAAGAAGACCGAGAAGTGCCCATTGGATTTGACAAGACAAAGCTTCTTCCCTTAAGGAGCTCACAGCTGAGTCGCGGTTGGGAAAAAGGGAAACGTAAATTTTTATACAATGCTGAAAGTTGAGTTTCCGAGATGAAAACACAAACTTGGGTCTAAATTTACTGTCTTGAGCACTATATTGTACCTCCATCTATACGATCACATTGCTGCTTTTCTGCAGCGGTCATCTATTAATAAACATCTTCTTCAGGGATAGATTCTCTTTGAGCTGAATAGAAAATTTCTAAAGACTCAGTTTCAGGTTGTCATTTTTAGAAGGAGCCAGTAGGCCCCAGAGATGAGGTACTGATTCTAATGGCGAGGAGGTCATTTAGTTGTTTTGTGTTGATTGTAGCTTGTCATACGACTGTGTAAGGATTCACATTCAGCCACGTCCTGGGTGGGAGGGGATGAAAGAAGCGAGAGATTCGGGGATGGAGAATATCCGTTTGCTCACAGAAACAATCACTTCATCACAATCTTAGGGAGGCGTGGTTCCTGTCTGCATTCTCCTCTCAACTGAAATCACACGCGGTTTTTGTGATTTACAGAGGCGCAAGACCCAAGGGCTCAAGTAGAAAGAAAATGGTTTGAGATTGATGATGGCAACAAATGTACAATGTGCTTGACACATAAGCCCCCTATAAAATGACTTAAAAAAAAAAAGAGGCACAAGACGTAAAGTGAAGCAACCATATCGGGGAATGCCTACTATGTGCAGGCAGTGACAATTGCAGTCAAGTCCACTCAAACTCACCCCAAACCCATATGTATCAGAGCAGCACCAAGCTTCATAAAGTTTTTAATGAATGATATTTTGGATGTAGATTATCAAAGTTTTCTTATGAGACACCTCGGGGTAGACTCTATTGAGCCTCTTGGCTAGATGCTGAGCTCATTAACTGTTTGTAGAATCTATGCAAAATGGCTGTGATTTGATCTGCACCCACTGCCCCCTCCCAACCCTCCCCCCCAAACCCCTCCCCCCAAGCTAAAATCAAAACAACAAACAAAACTCACTGACAATGTCTATTCTGACTCATAATGACCTTCTTGGACAACGTTGAATTGTTCCCTAGGGTTTCCCAGGCTTTGCATCTTTCCTGGAGCAGAAAGCATCTTGTGTCTTTCAAAGTGGGTGGTGAGTCTGAACTGCCAACCTTGTGGTGAGCAGCCTGATTCATAACCCACTATGCAAAGTAGCCAACACTTCAAGATGTTTTGATGTTCAAGCAACAGCAAGTACGTACAAGTTGAAATATAAAAGAAATTGGTCTAATGGGAATATAACTTTTGTCCTAAGTTTATTTACTCTCAAATATATTTTTCTGTCTTTCTTTGGTTTTAATAAGTTGCCTTTATCTGTAAAGATGGTTTCCTCTGTTTTCTTCTCAACACGTGCTCTGCAACTGGTTGTCCCAACCGATGGAGATCTGGAAGCAGTTTTCATAAACTGTTGAAACCTCTTCTTGGAACAGATTAAAGTTCCCACTTTCATAAAAGGGTTTATGAAATGAGGTGTCCCTGCTACATCTCTCATTGGAGACAGGAAGCAGGTCTAATGCAAATGATCTGTGCTACAATGTTTTTTAAGTCAAGAATCCACGTAAGTTCCTTAATGCATATGTGATTCACGAATTTAAAAAAAATCATTTTATTGGGGCTTTGTACAACTCTTATCACAATCCATCCATCCATCCATTGTGTCGAGCACATTTGTACATTTGTTGCCATCATCATTCTCAAAACATTTGCTTTCTACTTGAGCCCTTGGTATCAGCTCCTCATTTTCCCCTCCCTCCCTGCCGCTCCTCCTTTATGAACCCTTGATAATTTACAAATTATTATTACTTTGTCATGTCTCACACTGACCGATGTCTCCCTTCACCCACTTTTCTGTTGTCTGTCCCCCTGGGAGGGGCTATATGTAGTTTGTGATCTATTTCCCTTTTCTTGATTCACTTATTTTATCATTAGTCCCCCCCCCCCCAACAGCAAAGTCTACTTGTTCTTTTCTTTATGCTGTTCTCATTAACATATTCTTCTGTGAGCATGGCCATCATATTTTCAGAAAATCTTAAGGGAGTCAGCGTTTAAATTTGCTCAGAACTTCTGCGAATACAGCGAAAACCTGCTGGGAAATGGATATTATTCTCAGTGCAGGGTTTTTTCCCCCCTCTCTGCTCTATAGGAACATTATAAATCATGCAAATGCCAGTGGAGGAGGGGATGTCGTTGCTTGGTTAGCTCTGGAAAAGAAGTTACTTCCTATCTAAAGAGGAATTCAAATAGCCACATAGCAAGCGGAGCACTCACAGGTTTCCTGTGGGCCGTTTCCCCTTGGCTAAAGCTGAGTCAAAGCCAAAGCGAAGGAAGAGAGCATTTCCTGGGCAAAAGTCTCAGACCTCAGATGATTCACCACACCGATCACTCTGTTCAAAAAGAGGGAACACATTTTCGGCTCGTGTACGCTTGAAGAATTTCCTTAGCTGGCCTTTGAGGAATTTAATCAGATTTGTTTGGGGAGTTAAGAAGAAAAGTAAGACTCAAAATAGACCGGCCTAGAGAGTGCTAGCGCACGGACAAGTAAATCTCCCCATTTCAGGAGGCTCAGAAAATATGAGTCAGCAGAAAAGAATTATGCGGGGGCTACTGTAGCTTAAGTATCATGTTTTGAAATATTTTATGCCCAATTTTGTCTTTTAGGGACATGCTTTGAAAAGATCCAGTTAGGGTTGTTAAATTTTATCTGTACTTTTTTTTTTTAATGCACAGATTATAAGTGTGTGTTTAATTCAAGATTCAGATGAACAGAGGTCTAAAACCTTTTAATTCCCCCCAACCCCATCCCCTACTCTCAACGCCAAACTACAACACCAGGAGAATGAAAACGCTGTGCTGGCATCGGTTCTCCTGGAAAAATGATCGTCTGATATGTATGACATTTGGTATTTTCATTTCTGAGTGGCCTGCGGTGAAGATATGAAAAGTGGCAAGCCTACTTCATTCACTCGTTGTGTGTCTAGTAAGTTTGTTTTTCCTTTCTTTTGGAAGAAAGAATTACCCCTCATTTAAAAAATGCTCACAATAATGATAATAAAATAATAAAAGGGTCAATCTGGCACACGTTGAGCTAAAATCTCAGAAATCGCTAGCGCCTTCTCCTTTGACTTCAGGGTGGTGGCGGTGAGGAGTTACACAAACGGATGTGGAAAGTGTCCTGCTAACCATCCCAGCAAACTCCTCGGTTGTACGTGATGCCAGGTGGGCTGCGGGTCACCAGGCCCCTCTGCAGGGGTCAGCTAGGTGCGGATGCGGACAGGCGCCCCACCTTCCCTTACCTGCGTAGTGGTCAAACACCGTGGGCACGTATTCCTCGGGGAAGGCGTCGTTGGCGTAGCTCATCAGCAGGCAGGTTTTCCCCACGGCCCCGTCACCCACCACGACACACTTCAGCATCTTCTTGTCGTCGCCGCCGCCGCAGGCGCAGCTGCGCTCGCGTCCCTCCTCGCCGTTCATGCGGGCAGCTCCAGCTGCCCCTGCGCCCGGGGCGCCCGGAGCCCGGCTGGCTGGGGTTCGTTCACGCGGCCGGCCCTGGGCGGCTGGGGCTCCCCGGGACCCGGCCCAGGCGGCTGGGGGGTGGCCTCTGGCTCACCATCCTGGTACAGCAAGGTCACACGCACTCCAGGGGCAGGAGGACAAGCGCCTGTCCCCTTTGCCTGTCCGTGGGAGTTAAGAAACCCTCATTTCCATGGAGTTCTAGGGACTTCTGGGCAGTCTGGAAATTTCAGCAGCACTGGCTTGGAGTTTTGCTAAATCGTCCCCATTTTCCGCTGCACGGCTAACATGGAGGAAAGCCGGGCTGTTTAATGGAGTGCTCCCCTGGCTTCCTCCGGCCCGCCGAGTGTCAGGAAATCATGGGTTTCCTGCTGCATTCCTTATTAGGATCGTGGGCTGGGAAGGCTGCAACAATGGGAGCTGTGTGTGTGTGTGTGTGTGTGTGTGTGTGTCCTGCTGGGGAACGGTGCCAGGACTGGAGTGGGAAACTCCTGGGGTCCCACTGCGGCCTCAGGCCGTCAGACTGCCCCTGTCTCCCGCTGCTGTGGGCCGGGTGCCCGGGGCTGCCTGGGAAGAAGCTGACGACAGGGGGACACTGGGGAGGACCCCGGGCACAGCCCCCGCCCCCGAGGGGTTGGTTTCAGGGAACCAGGGCGATCCACACCAGCAGTTGCGGGATAACACATGACATCATCCCTGACTGAGTCACCAGTTAGAAGCGTTGCAAATGAAAAACGGGCCTTCCTCGCTTGCTTGAACGAGAACCCTGCACCAGTGCATCCCTGCTTTCAAGAGGGTCCATTGCCCTTCCGAGCCCCGTGGCTTTGAGAGGGACACGGACTTGGGGTAGGTTTTCCGTAGGCTGGGCTTCTCTAGGGGTGTCAGCTGGGACATTTGAGGGCTGCCCTTAACCATGTGCAGTGGACACACGCACTTTTATGATTGTAGCACATACGAAGTCAATCAGCGGTTGGCCAAGGCGGCATGGTCTTATTGGTAAACAAACACACATGTGCTTGGCGCACACGCTAACACTCTTGGAGAGGAAAGTGGGTAGGGTGGCTTAGCGGGGAGCGTCAGGACTCAAACGCTGATTGTGCCTGCAAGTTTCACTCTGATTTCAGTCTCTTCCCAAGGGGCGGCCTGGGCCTCTGTACTGCCAAAGGAGTTGTTGGCAGCTAATTTATTTGTTCACTGGGTCACTCAAAAGGAAGACCCTTTCTTTGAAGCTCGACATTTGACTAATGTACTTGGACTTAAAAAAAGTAGTCGAACTCTGTAAGTGATTTTGACAAATGGGCCAAGTATATTTTTGGATGGGAAAACGCTATTTTTCTTGGACATTTTGGAACATGCGTTTTAAAAATTCAAATAATCCAATTGCTTTGAGAAAGAGCTTTATTATTTGGGGGGGCGTTGTTGATATTTTCTTTTCTTTTTCTTAAGTGGGAGTGAAGTCTTTAGTAAGTGGCTATCAACCCCTATTCTACCTTACAAATCCTGCTAGACCAGAGCGTGTGCACGGATACAGCTGAGAGCTGGAGACACAGGGAATCCAGGACAGATAAACCCCTCAAGACCAAGAATGAGCGCAGCGATACCAAGAGGGTGAAGGGAGGGTGGGGGAGAAAGAGGGGACTCATCACAAGGATCTACATATAACCCCCTCCCTGAGGGACGGACAACAGAAAAGTGGGTGAAGGGAGACATCGGACAGTGTAAGACATGAAAAAAATTATAAATTATCAAGGGTTCATGAAGAAGGGCGGGGAAAATGAGGAGCTGATACCAAGGGCTCAAGTAGAAAGAAAATGCTTTGAACATGATGGCAACATATGTACAAATGTGCTTGACACATGGATGGATGTGTGGATAGTGATAAGAGCTGTCAGAGCCCCCAATAAAATGATTTAAAAATAAAAGTGGCTATCAATAAAAAATATGTAAAACTTGTTATCAAGTTGATTCTGATTCATGGAGCCCCATATGTTTCAGACTATACGTGTGCTCCATTGGTTTGCATGGCTATACTTTTATGGGTGTACATCACCAGACCTTTCTTCTGCACTGCCAGGTAGATTTGAACCATGGATCTTCTGGCTAATAGTCAAGTGCAAACCATTTGTGGTGCTCAGGGAGCCTCGTCATATATATAGATAGTCATATCAAATAGATATACCACTGTGTAATAGATATAGCCCCGGATTTCTTGTTTTTGATTATAGGAACATTTACCATATTGCTTAGTGTCCTGATATATTTTTATTCTTGTAAATGCTGGTGTTTCAGTAACCTTGTGATACATAACAACCAAGTGGCTAACTTCAATGATTTGAAGTAACACATCTACCTCTTGTTTACACTGTATCACTACTATGTGGTGTTAGCATTCTAGGCAGAGGAAGCAACCTCACTGAGAACCCTGGGCCAGAGGCAGACATGAAAGGTGAAGTAGCACCGCTCTTGTCCCGGGAAGTAACCCTTTTGTTCCTACTCATTGGCCAGAGCAAGTGGCATGCCCATGCTTGACTTATGATCGTACCACGTTATAGAGGAGAGACCCCAGGACTCAGTTCAGTGTTCAGGTTGAATTATTTATGTTTGCTGGCACTCTGAAGCATCGGAAGGTCCCGATGACTGCATGCAACTTGTATATATTTATTTTCACTCACACTATCCAGCATGTCTGGAATATGTAAGAATAAAATTGTGACCTGGAAATATTTTTGTTACTTTTTGAAAAAAATGGACTGAGTGTGAAGGGGGCAGGCATGCAGGGGTCCTCAAACTCTGGCCCGCGGGCCACATGCGGCCCTCCAAGGATATTTATCCAGACTGCTGGGTCTTTTTGCCCCGTTTTGTTTTTCACTTCAAAATAAGATATGTGCAGTGTGCATAGAAATTTGCTCATAGTTTTCTTTAAACTATAGTCTGGCCCTCCAATCGGTCTGAGGGAGAGTGAACTGGCCCCCTGCTTAAAAAGTTTGAGGACCCCTGGTTCAAAGGCATGATTGACAGGCAGTGTGATGAGCCCACCCCAAAGGTGAACATGATCACTTTGAGCATAAAGTGATCACATAAACTTGGTAGAACTTTGAAGGTCTTCTCTGCCTTTGACCTTGTCCCTGAGATCAGCAGCCTGTAGGACATGGCACTCCATTTAAATATAGCTCAATCTTCACGAGGGAGTGGGGAGTGGGGAGGGAGTGGGTAAAATGAGGAGCTGATGCCAGCGGCTTACGTGGAGAGCAAATGTTTTGAGAATGATGAGGGTAATGAAGGTACAAATGTGCTTTACACAATTGATGTATGTATGGATTGTGTGATAAGAGTTGTATGAGCCCCCAACAAAATGATAAAACAAAAACAAACAAAAAACAAAGAAAATGTTCAAAAATTGAAAAAAATATATAGCCCAATCAACTAAGACCTTGGATTCCTTCACTGCACCTGTACCCCAGCTCGCCCAGTAGTTGGCTTAGGGACAAAAACCCTGGGAAATTGGTCTGAGGTAAAACCTTGTCATATCTGTGCACAATCTAGCCCTTGCACTATCAGACCACAGATATTTGCCTCTATGGCCAGATTGCTATGTAGAGTGGAAATTAAGAGAATTGAACATACACATGACTAAAATTACATTGCCAAACATACCTTCTATTTTTGACAACAATTAGAAAGCATCTAATGATGGGTCCTCTAACCCAATTGATATATTGGCCAGATTGGATTCTAAGCAAAGATGGGTTGAGAATGTTGTCCATATATCTCAACATAAACATGCATTGTTTTTATTTGCTGCCCCCTAAATCAAATATGTGTGGGGAGCCACTTGTGGGACTCACCAGCAAAAATGGTAAAATAGTTCACGAATGTTGATACCATCACAGTTGGCTGGCTAACCCTGCAGTTTGTATTTTCCAGGTGAGCATAAGCCTTTTGAAATGTGAAAAGACCAACCTGAAATCTTGAAAACTGTTCCTTTTGCTGGGTACCACGGAATTGACCCCCAGCTTCTAGTGACCCTGCAGAACAAAGTCCTGCCTGACCCTTGAAACTTATGTAACAGCAATGCAATAAGGTTGGGACAGGCCCACGAGGCCATAGATGCCATGGGGTTACTAATTCTAGTCTGGTCAAGAATACACGTCAATTCCAGGCTTGCTGGTATCAATTTAGAAGTGGTATGAAGACTTACTAAAATATCCTTTTTTCAGCTGCCAGTGGATCATGTAAATGGTTGAGTGGCGGTTCTACCACCATTAATTATTTGGTTTACCTCAAGCACCACGTTTACACAAACTTACCACGGTAAAATCTTGTTGCACTATTTTTTCTGTTTTCCCCCAAAGATCTTAAGTCCTTGACTCTCTCTAGTTCTCTGCATTTGCCTTCACAAGAATTTCCCCCAAAGCCAGCAGAGCATTTTTGTATAAACGTCTGACCCTTTTATCATTACAAAAAGTTTTATTGACATATAATTTGTGTATCGTACGGTTCAATAGTTGAGACATATTAAAAAGAGTCGTGCAATCATTACCACAATACATTTTAGAACATTTTCTTTGTTTTGTACTCAGTGCTAGAACTCCTGATCTTTTGATTGCTTCCGGTATCTGGCTGTATAGCAGCGCTTAGACTCCCCACTCTTGCACCTCCAGCCCTCGTGCTTAAAACTAGAAGGTGCAGGATTCAATGGGACCAGATACTCTGATTCTGGATTAGCCTCTATCTAAGAGGCTGTTTTGACTTA